GACCAGCACGGGACAGAGTTCAGACTGCTCGGACTAATAATCGTGAAGCTCATTACTTGCTCCTCAAAACAACGAGTTGGGGGGCTAACTGTTGGGGTCGGATTTCACCCGCGTTAAGTCCGAGCTAAGACATAACGCCTCGGGACCTATCACCAAATCAGCTCGGGGAACTCTGACTAAACAGCTCGGGATCCCACACGAATCGGTTCGGGTATCCTCACTGCCGGTTCGGGACTACCAACCAACTTGGGTACCCGAGCCCGTCAATCCAATACCCGAGCCCAACTTGGTCAACCGGCGAATATTTCGGCTCGGGCATAACGTCACATTGTTTATCCGAGGCGAACACCAGGAAGTCTCCGAATCACCCGAGGCGGGATCATCAACCACCCGAGGCAAAGACTTAGTAAATATTCGTCTTCAAAGTACCATTTCCAAGCAAAGCGTCATTTCCGAAAAAGAAGGATCATTTCCGATAGACCCGGAAATGATAAGGAAGAATCTCGAAGGATCAACTCAAATCAAGAAATCTTCCAAGAAACTCCGAAGAATAAGGAAACTATCCCAAAATCCGCGATATTCTAAGCCGACTTCAAGATAAACGGAAATCTTCCGAGAATATCGCTGGAGAGGCGGTTTACCATCCCTATATATAGAGACTCAAGGCTCTCACAAAAAGCAGGCAATATCGCTCTAGAATTTACACTACGCAAAGCTTTCACAGCACAAACATCTTTTTCTTTACGATCAAACTCTTGTACGATCAAAGTCATCTTTTCCTTAATAATATCAAGAACACCATCTTTGGTATCAATTGATTTTGTCGTTCTTTGAGAATTCTCGCAAATCGTATCCCTAAATTAAAACCCTAGACAAATCTTGATTGTGTTAGTTTCGACTTCCACAGTTATTTTGTTAAGCATGATCTTTTAAAAATAAAATACAAAAATTAGTATGCAAAAATTTGAAATTGCAAAATTAGTTTTGGATACTTTTTTATTGTAAAAAATACTTTAAATTAAATATATGTTTCTTATTAATATGTGACATTCAAATTTTTTAAATGGAAACGCAAGTTTCCAAAGTATATTTTTTTGGAAGCGCTATGGAAGCGAGATTCCAAAAGCTTCCAAGAGCTTCCGAGTCCGACATTCCGAGAAGACAGGAGAGTTCGTCTTAGTGTGGTTCTTTGACCCTTCTCCTTATTTATTCTATTGCGATGTCATTCCGGTAGAAGACGAAGTTCCCAATATGTTAAAAGGTGTAACTGATCTAGCACTCCGGGGTTACCGTCTTTACATGGCATCTAACAGTCGTTGCCTTCGAGTTATAGATTTGTCTGGAAATCAAGGTTTCGAGGATGTCACCGGGAGTAACCCAAAGCCAATGTTATCTCCTCTCGGAAAACATAATTATTTTAGCATTACCGTTACAACAGCAGGAGAGGTTTTGTTGGTCGAGAGCACAACCTTTGAAAACCAGAGGACCTTCCGTGTCTACAGGAAGGATCCTAATGCTGACCCAGATGACCAAATCCCAATCTTTTTGAGTTGGATTCTCTTGGTGATGAGGCCCTGCTTCTCGACTTGGGTATCACTGTGCCTGCTAACCATACCATTGGTATCAAACCAAACTCTATCTATTTCACCCGTCATGACCGTTAACGTTCCCGTCTCCGTCTCCGCATCCCTTTTGATCTGGATATTTGTGTGTTCAGTCTTGCAACCAAAACCCTCATACGCTTCCCTCAACTCGCCAACTTGTATCCCAAGGATGCTCGATGGTTTCTCCCTATGACTTGATTCATGCATTTTGATGTTCTTGATTCCTTTTAGTTATATGCCTAGTCGCCCCTTTTACGTTTTGTTTGATTCTATTCAGCATTAATTGATTCTTGCCGTTATGATTTAGAGAATCATGTACTTCGATCGTGTCTTCAACCGCATTTACTAGTGATAAGTCTTGGGAGAGAATGTTAAATTTCTATGATGAAGTCAAAGCAAATATACCATGAATACTTATCAGTTATCATCAAGTACCATCAAATTAAACATCAACCAAGGGCCGTAATTAAATCAACAATTTTTCCAACAGTGGAATCCCCTTCAAGTAGAAAATGTTGGTTTTGTGTTGACGTGTGTGATGTTATTGTGAAAATTTTATCTGCCAAAAAAAAAATAATGTAGAGGACAAGATCTTACTTTTTTTTTTTTTTAACAGCTGCTTTTATTATTAATGAACAGAAATATGATCCATGTGTAAAGCACTTGAAATTGTTACAGGAACGAAATGATGAAACCAGAAACTTAAATTATGAGGAATATTTTGCTTGGCAAGGATGTCTGCAGGTTTATTGTGTGATCTCTTAACCCATTGGAATCTGCATTCTTGAAATCTTCTTTTCCACGCTTGAACGTCTCTGATCCAGTTATAAACTCCAAAATGTGGTTGTTTTCCATTGAGGATCTCTGATAGCTCCTTGTTGTCGCCTTCAAAACATACTCTTGTGTATCCTTTACTCCAGCAGTGCTGCATTGCAATAATAAGTGCTTGGAATTCACTCTCTAGCGAGTTGTGTGTCAACTTTCCTCTAGCTTGTCCCGCTCCTGCATAATTTCCACTATCATCGCGAATGACCCATCCAACTTTGCTTGGAGTTCCCATGTTATATGAACCATCATAGTTGCACTTAATCCATCCTTGTGGAGGTTTAGTCCAATGACTTGCTTCTCGGCCATGTGTTCCATTTGTTGATCGTCTGATTGTTCGCATCTGTAAATGGTGCTCTGTTTCTTGCCATTCCTTAGCATCCCTCTTTGCTAAGTTGAGACTGGTTTCCCAGGAGATGTTACGTTTTTGAAAAGTGAGAACGTTGCGACTTTTCCATAGACGCCAAAGGATCCATAGCGGAAGCTGTCGTAAATAGATTGTTGGGTAAGAATTGAGTGCTAAAACGGCTTTTATCTTGTCCTCCCAATGAACTGTAGAGTCATAGAAAATTGGATTCGGAATCCCTGAGCTTCGCCATACTGCTTTTGCATAATCACAGTCGAAAAATAGATGGTGTATGGACTCTTCTTCACGACAGCAACGTTTGCATTGTGAATCTCTACTAATGTGTCTGCGCCTTAGCATTTCTCCTGTGCTTATAGCTCCGGATAAAATCGTCCAACAGAAATGCTTAATTTTTGGGGCTGTCCTGACTTTCCAAAGCATTTGCTTGAGCTGTAAGTCTCCTGGTGGGGCTTGTCGTTGATCCTCTTCTGGAAGATGAGTTGAAAGCCAATATGCAGATTTCACTGTGTACATTCCATCCTTTGTGTAATGCCAGCCTAGAAAATCTTCTTTAGCAGAGGAGCTTACTTTAATTGATAGAACTGTGTCCACATCTTCCGGTGCTATCCAAGTAGTCACTTTCAACAAATCCCAATCCGTTTGTGTTGAATTAAGGAGATCTTTAACTAAAAGCTGTGGTGGCGCATCAACTGTCTTGTGTGGAGGTCTTGGATTGTGTAAAGGTAACCATGGATCAAGCCAAGCACTTATTAGACTCCCATCACCAATGCAGAATCGGAGCCCTTTCTTGAGGAGATCTCTTCCTTGTAAGATAGACTTCCAAATAAAAGAAGCTTTCTTACCTTGACTAGCATTCAGGATGTTTGTCTCCGGGAAGTATCTCTCTTTGAGCATCCTTGCCATTAAACAATTTGGATGTTGAAGGATTCTCCATGTTTGTTTTCCCAACAAAGCCAAATTAAAATTCTCCAAATCCTTGAATCCTAGGCCTCCTTCTCTTTTTGGCAATGAGGAAAAAGGTATGCATTGGTTTGCTTGGACAAGATCTTACTTTTTATTTAACAAAAAGGCACAGAGAAACCCTAAAAAAGCAAAAACATTATCTTAATGTACTCAAAATTTTGTACTACATAGCCACATACACAGGGACGTAGACTAGCATATGAAAGTTTTCTTGTTTTTGTTTAACCAAGGATCCGATTTTTACCATCCAAATCTCTGCAAAATGAGTGTAGCCGTCGAATAGGCCACTAACCGAATTTTCTATTAATTGATCTAAAACATAAACATCATTTTGACTAGCCAAATGGAAATGATTTAGTAAATTCTTCACTCGACTCACACAAAAATTTATTTGTAGTTTCTATATACGAGTTATAAGAAAATGAGGAGATCCCAAACTTGCTCAATGTAGTGTAGAAAGGTTTTACGATCTGAAATCACTTTATCAATAGATTTCACCATTGCTACGATCGGCTATTTTACATATTGTAGATCAAAATAATCCACGTTAAAACGATCACAAGGCAAATTTAACACCCTCAATCAAACCGTTACAAATGTTTTGAATAGTTTTCAAATTATACAAATAACAATACTTACCTTTTTCAACCAAACTATGTCCTAAGATTAAATATCAAATAACTTGTGTGCTATGTGCGCTTTGCCGTTGACGGCTCAGTGTTCGCGGCCCATGGGTGAAAGGCTTCCTTTCGCTTGGTTATCAATGAATCAGTTTTCGCCGTTTGACAGCATGTATCTTCCTCGTTAAGGTGTCATCGATGAAATTCATCAAAATCTTCTATCGCTTCATTGATTTTGAGAGTGTCACTGCTTTTGTTGATGTCGATGGAACGATTGTTATTTGCTTCCATGTTTTTTTATTCTTTTTTTTGCCATGAGACCAAAACATAGGACTTATTTTTTTTGTAACTTCTAATCGTTTTCATTTTCTAATGAAATATTTACATTCTTAGCAAAAAAATAATATATATATCAAATAACTTTATACTAAAACTTTTCATCCCAACTGTTTGTAGTCTTTTTTAAAGCAAACCCATTTATCTATATCATGTCCATTATGTACCTCAGGCGCATATGCATGATCCAATTCTCGGACAAGAGATCGTAGATACTTTATAGGTTCTGCCTCTAATGTTCTTGCACAAGTATAATTTAAAATGCACGAGCAATGAAAGAATGAGTAGACCGTGAGAGCATTATGTATGACTTGGTTGCCAATCTTATGACTTATGAGTTGGATTAAGCTTAGATCTTATTATGTGTGCTTTTGAATAGTCGAGAGTACATTATGTATGACTTGGTTGCCAACACCTTTGTCTTCTCTTTTTCCAGCAGAGCTTCTGTGTCTGAGCATTTTTGCTTCAAGTCCTTGAGTTCTTCCTTCTCTTTCTCCAGCAAAGCTTCTATGTCAGAGCACTTCTTCTTAAAGACCTTCAGGTCTTTCTCTAATTCTTGCATCCGAGTCTTACCAATCTGCTCTTCCATCTTTTTTGCCTTTACTTCCTCCAGTTTACACTCCAACCAATCCACCTTAAAGCCCAAATTATTCAGATATGTTAGTGCTTGCTCTGCTTGGCCCAGGTCATCAATGGAAATATCTTGCAGTGACTGGCACAACGTCTTGATTAAGCTGAGGAGGACATTTATGCATGATGTCTTCATATGTTGGTTCTTTGCTCGGAATTTTAGTGCCATTTCTGGGTGTTTTTCGAATATACGTTTCACAGATTCCGCCTGCAGTGAAAAAAGGATAAATAACGTTTTTATTTCTTACATTTTCTCTGCATTAAGATGTGTTCAACTGATAAATCCAAAACATAAAAAACCATCTCTTGTCCCAAAATCAATAAAAAAAAAAAGGCGAATCGATTCATATCTAACGAAACACTATTGGATGGCAAATACATTCTAGAAAAAGTTTGAGTCTTTATGAACTTGTTACCTGTGAAGGAAGAACTTGAAACCCATTGACATCAACTGATGAAGTTACCACACCATCACCATTTAGCTTTATCCTATTCAGAGGTTGGTTTACCTCTAGAGATTCCTCAGAAACATCTAATTTGCCAATAACTTGAAGAACATCAACCTCCACAACAATCTTGACTTCATTGTTCACAAGAAATCCACCTTCTTTGGCATTAAGTTCGGAAAGGAGAAGCATTTTTTGATACCCACAGATAGAACACTATTCATCTAACCAACCTTCTTTTTCTGTAGACCACGAAAAGATAGAACTGATCTAACTCAAAACAAAGACAAAACACACAAACATAATTCACAAACGACGAACTTTCCTGTCCAAACGCCTTATAGAACTCACCTCGTCGTTGGGAAAGTTGATCGGAGACTTGATTTACAATAGTTAGGCGAAATCTTGTGTGTCTTCTCCATCCACAATGCAAACTTTTATAATCAGCAACCACCAGATACAGAGACAAATAACCAGCCTTGACATATCCGTGGGAGAGGCTCCAAGAAACAAATTCATCAGACTCAATGAACTCAGATTCCAAAGATGAGATATTCTTAACCACCCAAGTGAATTTCTCATTCCCCATTGAATTAGGGCAGTGGCACTGTTGTATCATTTCGGCATCATTTAACGTAAGTTTTGTAGTTGGTTTGCAAATAATTAAAACTGGATAAAATTCCGCGCTAGGCGGTGATTTTTTTTATAAAATAATTTTGTTTCAATATAAGTTTAAATTAAAATTTTGTTTTTGATCGAAAAAAATTTAAAAGTCTCTTAAAATTTCATATCTTGCATTTGTTCATATTTTAGTATATTTTGTTTTACTATGTATTTTTGTATATATACATTAATAAACATATGTTATATATTATTTTTACAAAATAAATTGTTGATATAAACTCACACATTATAGTTCAAATCTACTATACATTTTTGCAACACTTTTAAGAAAAACTAATAGTGTCAAATTTTGTTTAATTTTGACCCGGAAATTTAATGTTTTCGACCCGAATTTATGTCAATCGGATCCTTCCAATTTTGAGATTTTACCCGATTTTGTTTCAATCGCATATTGCCTTAATTGATACTCCCTACATTCAAGGCAACCAACATATATTTTCTCATAATTGAAAGATATGGAGAATATATATAGTTATAACAAATTGAATATCTACTTATTGATTTTAATCCGTAAATAAGTCTCAGATCCACATAATATGAGACTTTCCTAAAAAAATCCTAACAAATTAAAATGATTGGAAATCTTTAATAAGATCTTGCCTAATTTCTACAAATACAGAAAACGACATTTAATTAGTTTATAAAGATTTGACAATATTTTTACGTATATATGGTTCTAACAAACCAATATTTGACAATCAAATTGTTTCCTATTATAATACTAGAGATTTTGATGCAAGTCAGTTTGTTTCCTAAGTAAAATGAACAATATTAATTCAAAATTCAATCTCACCCAATTAATTAGAAATGTTACATAACTAAACGATTTTATTCTTATTTTTCGTAGCATTTATGTGGCATATTCTATAGATTCTCGATTCAAAGATTTGTAAAGATATTTTACACTTGCTCACCAAAATTTTTTTTAATCTCTAACCTAAAAACTATATCAATCTTCTCAAAACACTATAAATACACACTCTTTTCCAAGATCTAAACTCACCGAACACAAAACCAGTACATCTCACACCAACATTGTACCTTTTATCACGATGAAAAAATCCTTTCACATATCAATGGATGGTTCATTTGCCATTCTATTTTCTCTACGGTCTCCTTACTTCTCACTAAACCTAAGAAAGGAAACAAAGACTTTCTTGAGTAAGTCACTCAATTCTCTATTTTAACTTCATCATTATTGTTAGATTTTGCATATACATTTGTTCTTATATTTTTTGCATCATCTATGTTAAACTATCAACCATTTCTTTTTTTAAAAAGTTATATGCCCATAAGGTATTGAACACAAGATTTTGGTTAGTCCTTATGAATTATAAGCCTTTCAATTTGTTGCAGGATGAAAAACGTGAAAGAATTGAATTGGTAAAAGAACGAATGATGAACCTGACAGGCTCACACTACAAAAGGAAAACATGCTACAACATTTAATCTATTTGAAACTATCTTAAAGAGGCAATAACATGGTAATCAAGAAAATCATGTTCATGTCTTTGGATAGGCTCATGTTCATACCTTTTTGTTATCTTTGAATTTTTTTTAATCGATATAACAGAATTTTCTAATTGGATTTTGCATGGATTCTATAAATATTCAGTGATTTCAAGAAAATTACCAAGAGGAATGAGTTGAAATCTGGGTGCCAAATCCATCAATCTGCGTCTGTGATAAATCCACTTTCATATCAAATGCACTAGAGCAACCAATTTTATCGCAGACGAATAAAAACGGTGGAGCAACAACGACCGTCCGATTGACAAAAATGGTGGCTCGGAATGAATCTGGAATTGGCTCGAACCTAACCGATCCACTAATCTGAAGAGAAACAATTGATCGATGTCTGAAACTCGCGAAACTTGAAAGAAAAGAAGAAGATTTGGAAATAGCTTACCATTGGTATGTGGAAGCAGGGACCGAGGAACTGAATATTTATCACTTATCAATCATCGTCGTCCCTTTGATGTGTTGTCTATCTTTAAAGAAAGAGAGACTTACCGAGACATCGTTTTTTTCTACTTAAAATCTCACACTTTTTGGGCATTAACGGACCCTTTGGTCGTCAATATCAATGATACATTGTTTTGGTCTTATATTAACGGGCCATTCATATGGGCAAATGGCTCCAAAACTGGATATTTGGTCTTTTTGTGAGTCGTAAATGAAATGTCACAATAGTTTTAAAGATTTTCGTAAAACTTCATGTGTTTATGTCCATTTTATGACTATATGATTTGACACTCATAAAAAGATTATCCTACCACACGTTTGTTTTTTCTTATTTTCTAACCTATATATTTTATTATTTTGAAGTATACTTTACTTCCATGTTCTAACTTTAGTTTGGTATCCTATACTATTATTTGGGGAGTACAATTTATTAGAAACTCTTTACTAACCTTCTCTTTTGTAAAAAAATTACTTGAGAATGCCATTACAAAAAGCTCATTTTAGAACAAATTCAATAAGGTTATTATAGACAATTAGCACTCTATCCATTTCACTAATCATGGGTCAACGGGTTTAGAAACGGGTTTAAGAAGATTCCCACAACAATAAGATCTTCCACGTTTTTTTCATAAACAACAACACCAAACAATTAATTCATAATTACTTACATTTCTTATGAAACATCTTATCACATAAAATCTTAAATATATTACATAAAGAAGAGACAGAAACCAAAAAAAAAACGTTTCATGTTCTGGTTGGTTCATGGAAGATGATTCGTGCCTCTTCATATCGAGGGAGAATTCGAATATTTGTATATTTTTGCATTGTATGTTATTGTATGTTTTTACATTTTTACATGTTTTCTGTGTTATCTATGTTATCCTATGTCTCTAATTCTTATAGTGAAGATTCAAATATTTGTATATTTTTGGTTAATTTATATGTTAAAGATTGACTATTTCATCAATGTTTCTAAAATCAAAACAAACTAATCCAGTATATGAGGATGAAGATCTAAATCTTACCAATACGGTTTCGATAGTGATAAGATTAAAAACCATTTATATGTTTAATGTTAAGAATAATCCGCTTTGAAACTAATAAAAATTGTCACTTATATTTTGTAAACTAATATCTTTAGATTAGTTTCAATCACTATATTCCACCTAATAGAGAATATACCTATATGGATTAAATTTCACAACTAATTTTAATTAGCTCAAAAGGATTTGATAATATTTTTCGGAGCTATTGTATCTAACAAAGCCGCCCTTCAATGCTTATAAATTGGATTAACGACGAGACTACTTTAGTACATTCTCAGAAAATCACCTATTTACACGAAACAGAACCCTTCAAAATGGCCATGGTCAGTCCCTACACTCCTATCAAAGACTTGAAACCTTACAAGACTTCCTGGCGTATTCAAGCTAAGATTCTGCATACGTGGAATCATTATACTCAGGGTGCTGGGATGTCTTTTGAAATGGTCTTGGTTGATGCTTATGTAAGTAGGATTTTGTTTGTCAACAATGAATAAGTGTTTTAGCAAACTGTTTTAAGTATTTATGTTATTAGATTGGTTTACCAGTTATTTCTTATAAATGCAGGGTAACAAGATTCAAGCAGGAATTAAGAAAGAACAACTCCAGAAGTTGCAAAGTGGAATCAAGAAAGGAGAGTGGACAATATTTGACGAGTTTTCAGTGAAGAAGGCAACATGAATGTATCGACCAACAAATCATAACTACAGAATTGTATTTGAGTACTCTACTGTCATCTCCCCCTCTGAGACGATTTCGGAATCGATTTGGCTAGATTTAGTTCCTTTTAATTCAGTACTAAGTGGTACCTTAGATCAAAACAAGTTGGTTGGTCAGTTTTTTCTGCAGCTTACTTTTTTTTGTGAATTTTTGTACTATGTATATTGTACTAAATAATGTGTTTTACCTTTGCTATAGATATCATTGGCCAACTGGTGAATGTTGGGGAAATGCAAATCGTGGATGTCAAAGGCAAGCCTAACAAGAAGATTGATTTCCAACTAAGAGACACTGAGTAAGTGTTTTATATAATATCTATAATAAGTCATTATTTCGGAGTTTATCTTGATCATATTTATTTTTTATTTTGCATTTCTATCTTTAGCGATAACCGTCTACCATGTTCACTGTGGGGAAGATTTGCTGATCAAATTAGCAAAGTCTCAAAAGATTCTATTGGAGGACAGGTCATTTGTTTGTTCCGGTGGGCTAAGTTGTGCCATTACAAAGGTATTGCATGACATATTTGACGGATAACTCCATATATTACGTAAAAAATATTGTTACTGATTGAAATCCATTATGTTTTTCAGAAATCAGAAGTATTTCAAACTCTTTTGATGCTTCTGATGTTTTGATCAACCCTGTCTTGACAGAGGTGGATGATTTTAAGCAAATGTGAGTGTTGTGTTTTCATTTAACTGTCTCTTTATATATCTAAATATAAATTACGAAAACTAACTAATTTTGCGTTTCTCAGGCTTCCTTCTGATGGACTTGCATTGACAATAATGGAACCTAAACCTAGATTCCAGCCTCTCAAGGTGCGTGAAGAGAGATCCAAACAATTCGCAAGGAAGACTATTGCTGAGCTAAAGGCCTCTCTCGAGGTATCTCTATCACAGATTTAATATTTGTTGTCTTTTATTATTTTCATCTTAGTTAACTTATTTAGCTGAATCCTTAATCTTTTCTAAGGTTGAAAAGATCAAGCTCATCTGTACCATTTTGTCAATTGACTTGGACTGGTCGTGGTATTATTTTGCCCACATCAAATGTAACAGAAAAGTTCTCAAAAGCAAAAAACTTCTTAGCTCTGGTGCCAAGAAGATAATTTGGATGTGTGACAAATGTAATACAAACGTATCCTCTGTTGAAGCAAGGTAATTGTTGCTATCCTATTTTGTATCTGCCTTTACTTTTATCATATTCTACCATAATTTTTTTGTTTATATTGAATATAATTCTTAATTGCATAGGTACTGGCTGCATCTAGACGTTATGGATAACACAGGGGAGAGCAAACTTATGTTGTTTGATAGTTTTGTTGAACAAATCATAGGTATTCCAGCTTGTGATCTCGTGGATCCTACAACTGAAGAGGTATTTTCTAATTGTATTCATTACATTTCGTTTTATTTACTTCTTGGTAAATATATGATACCCTTCCTGTATACTATTAAACACAGCTTGATGATCCCCTGCCACTCAATGATGTTGTGAAAAACATTATTGGTAAAACATACCAGTTTGCTCTTTGTGTTGAGCAAGATAATATCTCAAGAGGAAATGATGAATACAAAGTTTCTGAGGTTTTAACAAGTCAGAACCTTAATCACGCTGCCCTTGAACCTGAAGTTGATTATCCTGTTGATCTTTCATCCATGAGTTCCAGTGACCAGGTAATATTTTTCCTAAATTCAGTGTGATTTATATGATGTGATAATCTTTGTTGTTCCTTACTCGCCTAATTAAAAATTCATAATGTTTTTAGGTTTTGATTCTGACTAATAGTTCTCATAAGGATGACACTACCAATACTTCACTGTCTACACCATCATCAAAGAGAAAAGAAGATACTTCGGATGGATCTGATCAAAACTCCACAAGCAAGAAACAATGCACTGGAATACAATCTGATGTCAAAGACGATGGTGTCATTGATTTAGACACTCCGGAGAAAAATGATCAGTCTACTGATGTTAAAGTCCATGGTGTCATTGCTGTAGACAATTCGAAGGAACATGATCAGCCTAAGTTCATACACAAACTTGATGAGGCAGGTCAAGAAGCCATCACCAAAGTAAGTGAAGCAGAACAGAAGCAAGTTCTTTTGAAGAACATTAAGCTTGAGAAGCTCGAAGGCCAGAAGGGAGCAAAGTGAGTTAAGGGAAGACTCAACAATCTAAAATAAAGTTGATCTCATGGATTAGTTTTTTTTTTTTTTTTCTATTAGGTATCTTTCTTACATTTCTATCTTATTTTTTATGTTCTGTTTTTCAAACAACATCTTATCAGACATTTTTTCCTTAGTTTCAATTTCTATCTAAGAGTTTTATTTCAGAAGGTTTATCATTGTGGTGTTACTTATTTGATTATTTGTTATATCCCCCTAACAATAACGATTCCAGAACCACTATTTAAGCCAAAGCGTGTAATAGAACTCTTAATTATGGCCTAATTTCATATGTTCATATCAAATTGGATCGTGGAGAAGAGACCAAGCCATATTCATATGCTTTCTCCGGTATATCTAACAAAAGATAAATCTGATTTATTCTACTTTAGAAACTATCCATAATCCTAAAACCATTATAACTCAAATTAAAGTATAGCATGATTACTTTAACGAGACTTACTTATTTTAATGGCTTTGTCCAGACCGATCTTTATCCAATTTTTTTTAACTGCTTTAGCATAATCCTGTAAATAAATCAACAAATAGTTAATTAATTTACAATATCAGTTGAATTAGTTGTATGTAAGTTTAGATTCTTCATAAATTTGTTAATATAATTTTGTAATCTTAATAATAATAAAATATCTAAATCATATCCAAAATCTAAAACAACTTCTACACCAGCTTGCTGATAATTTATCTTGAATCCGGATAATTTATATTGAGTATCTTGAAGAACTAAATTTATGGAAACTGTGATTATATGCAATCATTCTTAATCATTATCTACCTCATATTTAAATAATAATAAATGAGATATATCAAACAAACACATCGAAACGATTCATATTTCCATATCTAATTCTAACTATATTCTTTGGATCTATTCAGTTATATTCGTCTATATATACCTATATTTTCTTCTCATATCATCACAGAAACCATCGACTCCTCTGCTTTCAATGCAAATAAACAAATGTGTATATCCCATGGAGTTGATTCACAGTGTATCTGATTTGTATGTAAAGTCGACGACATGGAGGATTTATGTTAAGATTATGTGTATGTGGGAACAGGATTTGGGTTTTGCTGGATCTGAAACAATCATGATGTTGGCTGATGAAAAGGTATCAAGCTTTTGCTTCACTTTCTATTTACTTCTATCTTGCAATAAAACTATTTTTATGTTTGTCATACAAGTACTTTAAATAGTTTGGTTCTGTAGGGTGGAAGAATCGATGCAAGGATTCCATCTGGGACATACCTTTGGAATTTTCGACCAGTACTGAAAGAAGGATTCTGGTTTCATCTGTCTGATTTCCAGGTTATCCAACCAGAGAACACAATCAGATATTCACCATCTCTATTTGAAATCAGGTTTATCTCGGAAACAGGAATGTGGCCTGTGAAACAGAGATCATGTAGTAACTTCTTTGAGTTTGTTTTCCCTATTGAAGTCCAGTATGCTATGGAATCGAATAAAGAAATTGTGATTGGTAAAGATTTCTAGAATTTTTTTTATGTGGAATCCATATATTTTAGATTACTGATTATAGTTGGTTTTTATTGTTCATTTTTTGAGTTTAGATGCTATTGGTGTGATTGCTGCTGTCAATACTATTCGAAGATTTCCTTATGTGTGTCCTCGGGGAGGGTCAGACAATGAGTCAAGATTTGTGGTTTTTAAGATAAAGGACAATATGTAAGTTTTTCTCTTAATATATTTTATGCTATATGTAAGATCAAAGATGTTTTATGATATATTTTCAAAGCATATAAACAAGTGTGTCTCCCATTCGAACAGTGCCTTTTGTCTGTGGTATAGGACAAACCGATTATGAAGCAAGACATGTGATGTTCAAGATTAAGGACAATGAGTAAGTTTTGCTTTTTTGTTTATTATGTTTAGTGTTACATGATAATTTTATGAAGCTAGATTGTATTAACCTGAATAATCTCTATGTTATTTATATTTTTAGTGGCGAAAAGATGATATGTGTTGCAGTTGGAGAGTCTTGTGAGCTGTTTGTTAACAAATTGTCTACACGTTTAAGTTCTCTTAGATACAACAATGATCCTATCGTGGCTGTTATGCGATTCTGGAGGATCTCCGAAATAAAAGGTGCTTAACTATATTGAATTACATTATTTCTATTAATTTGATCAAAAACTATATATGCATATTTATTTAATCTAAAACTCTCTTTGTTTATTCCTCTATAGGGTCACCTTGCTTAATGAGTGTAGTTGGCTGTTCAAGGGTTTTTATTGATGAACAATTTCCAGATTTCGATATCTAGAGATACATGTAATTTCATACTTTATGGTTTTCTTATATTTTAATTAGCATGAGATTAAGATAACTAATATTTCCTCTTTGCTTTTTATAATTTAGTCGATCATTTGCAATCGCCAAGGAAAATGATGATCAGATGGAGGAAGTGGATTCTAACTAAGACAAAGCTAGGAGGATAAAATTGAATCATCTGTTTTATCAGTTTGTACTTTGATATATTCCTGTTATCTCTTTTTGTTTTTTGTTATTTGACTATCTTTAAATTTTAAGATTTCCAGAGACTTTACTATATGTTTAAATGTACTTTGCCAAAAGTTATTTGCATTGTTAAGAACTTAAATCATTCGTGAATATGATGGACCTTTAATGTCAGTACGTTACAATTTATATAAGTTACTGAATAGTTTTTTTTTTGTTAACCAAATAATCTTTCTCATTTCAGCATGCATATAAGATCATATGAACTTTAAAGGTCCGTGATATTAACTATAGTCAAAAGTTCAAATTTCAAAAAAAGCTGCATTTTATCATCAAATTAAAGTTTCTTTCTGAGATGTCATAGAAACACAGTCACTTTGAAAACCAAAAAAGCTGTTAACTTGTACCAATACATCAATCATATGCAATGGTCAAGTTTTGCAAATTGGTTGTCAAATATAAAGTTTTTGTGTTCTCTAATTTAGTAATATATAAAAATGATTTTTTTGGCTTTTCTAAATTGTTTCTATTGGTCATCCTATAGGTTTGGCCTTTTCAAGATGTGTATAAATACATATATTGATTTCTACATGTATCACACTCAAGTTCTCCCAAGAGTTTCCACAAACAAAAAATCATCAGCTTTCATCCTTTTCAGATGATTACTCTAATCTTTTCCAAATGAATACTTTTTTAACTGATTTAACTCTCGAGAAGAAGGAATGGTTTGTAGTTGTTAAGATCTTGAGCATTTGGAATCATCCTCCCAAGTATCCCAATGATCACACTACCATGATTTTGGTGGATGACAAGGTATATGTTATTTTCTCCTTTTTATATCATTTTTTCTATAGATTTATTATAGATGATGAGGGAGACAAATCTTTTTAACCTTTTATATTTCAGGGTACCAGAATTGATGCTGTGGTTCCTCCAGATTCATACAAAAGGGAATTTCCTAGAAACCTCAAAGAAGGAAAGTGGTACTTTCTTTGGGATTTTGATGTGATCCCACCTTCATTGCGTGAAAGGAACTCTAATCATCCTTACCAACTTAGCTTTAATAAGAAGACAACTATGGCTTACTACAAAAAGAAATTCACTTCCGAATTCCTGCAGTGTCTTGATTTTCCAAAGATCAATAATCCATCAGAAGAAGATAAGCAATTCGTTGTTGGTAATATTCTGGATTAGAGTTCCAAATTTTTTATATTATTTTTTATTTACTCTTATAGCCTAATTTTTGACTTATTCCCATATTTAGATGTAGTTGGAGTGGTTAGGAGTGTCTCTCCTATTGGAAGACTACTTGAAGGAGAAAGTGATTTGGATTCAAGATATGTTACTTTCACATTAAAGGACCTTGCGTAAGTTTTATTGGAAAATCAATATAGTCTACGTCTATATGAGTTGTATTAGTTATCAGATTTTCAACAGTGTCATTATATTTTTATTATGTATCATTACATGTAGTGGCCATTCCATTAATTGTGTTGCAAAATGAAGTTTCTGTGAAGAATTTGTTAGGAAGTATTCTAGAAGAATAAGTGATGTGAATTATCACAATCAACCAATCATGGTTGTTCTGCGTTTTTGGAGGATATCAGAGTTTGGAGGTGATGTTCTCCAAACTAATTTTAAGATTCGTAATCCATATTTGACTGTTTATATAGCCAACAAATTTCAGTCCATGCTAATTATGGTATTTTTGTGTGTTTTTAGGTAAACCTTGCTTGATTACGAAAGGAGGTTGTCCAAGAATGTTCATCGATGAAAATTTCAGTGACATTAACAGAGACTGCTACATGTATTTCCACAGTATATATGAAATTTAAATTGGTTTATTTATACATAAGTTTTTATATTCTTATGTTAGTTATATTTATTTTTGCAGCTACTTTTTCACCACTGGAAATAAAGAGACAGCATCCTCAGATAATGATAATGTTTCTGATGAAGACGGTGATTCTAACTAAGATTTGCAGCTGTGTGGATGGGATCAAGAAAATTCCTCCTATGTTATATTCTATCTTGGACTTCCTTTAATGCTTTGTTTTGCTAATTTTTTTTAAGCAATGTGCTATTCCCGTATTTGTAAAATAAAACTCTTATGTTCAGTTGTTTTTTATTTTGCTTATCTGTGTTTTATTTTTAGTTTGCTTAATTCGTAAGCTTTCTGTGTAAAAGAAAGCATTGAATATCTTTTTTTTTCATTGTGCTATGATCTAGCACAAGCTATGGAATATCTTTTTTTTTTTAATGTTAATAATGTTTTTAAATTTCAGAGAACATAAAGAATTTTTTATATTGAGCAAAATTTACTATAAACTGATCCTTCTGAATGACACTAACCTCAATAATAGGTTGATGATCCGAGATCCTTGCTCCCTATTGTTTGATATTCTTATCATAATATATCTTGTCAATCATGAAAATATATAATTTAGTTATTAACTACTTCTAAAGAATGTTAACTTACTCAACTATTTTAAAAGTTAGTGAGAATATCTACAAATAGTACAGAGAATTAAAAATATTATGTACATGGTACTTTATGATATAAAAACTATCTACAATGGCATATACATCACATGAAAACTTAAATCCTAATCCAACAAAGCCTATTTTATAATTGTAAATGCATAAGCTTTAATTTCCAGTCAAATTATCTGATTGTCAACATACTTGTATGAATCCTATAGGAAATACACAGCCAATAAATTTCCTGTTGACTCATGCAATTATTTTCGTTAATCCCCCCATCAGTCTTACCAGATTTAATTGTTTTACATGACAACCAAACATGAAATCCTAAAATACCAATAACTAATATATGTTCTGATATTTATTTCCATTGTTTGGTATTTGTGTTGGATATAAAATAGGCCACTTGCTTTGTTTTCCAATTCACGAGTTTTGTCTATTAGCATATATCACTCTTACAACATTTAAAGGTATCTAAACAAGCAAACACAAACAATAGGCACGAAAACCATTAAAAGCTGTTATATCTGGTCAAGATTCAAGTTTCTTAGAGGTAAAACAGAGACATGAATCTTGAAAAACAAAAAAGCTATTATATCAGTCAATATATCAATCATATGATATGGTCATGTTTTACAACTGGTTTTTACATAGTGATATATTATTTGTTACACTTTACTTTTATTAAAACATCATTCTGTTTACTTTTATTTAGTAAATTGGACACAATGCTATAGGTTTTCACTCCATTCATAACCTGTATATAAATACATCTATACTTCACTATAATATCACACTCAAGTCGCTCATTTCTTAGAAACAAAAAGCACACCAGTTAGAGAGGTTTTCATCCTAATCTACTTCGCTGATCATGGCAGTGCTTTTTTCTGATTTAAATCGAAGGAAGAAGAAATGGCTGGTTTTTGTCAAGGTCTTAAGCATCTGGAATAATCCTCCTAAACATCCTAATGATCAGACAATTATGATTCTTGTGGATGAAACGGTATATATTGTTTTCTCTTTGCGCTAATAATGTTATATATTTTCTCTTTGTGATGATAATTATAAAGGAAACTTAACTTATTATCATTTTCTTTATAAGAGACAAAGAATTGATGCTACGGTTCCTACAATTGCAATCAAAAGGAACTTCCCTAGAGAGCTCAGAGAAGGACATTGGTACCTTTTGTCGGAATTTGATGTGATTCCACCTTCATTGCCTGAAAGGAACTCTGATCATTTTTACCAGATTAGCTGTAATAGGAACACAGAGGTGGATCCTGTCAGACCAAAATCACAATCCGAATTTTTTAATTGTGTAGATTTTTTCAGTATCAATAATGCATCAAAAGAAGACAAACAATTTGTTGTTGGTAAGTTTCTGTTTTATATTGGCAACCATTTTTAGTTAATTTTAATAGATCATCTATATACTAATAATTGATTCTTGCCATATTTAGATGTTTGTGGAGTGGTTGTCAGTGTCTCTCCGGTTGGAAGACTTCTGGAAGGTGGAAGTGATATGGATTCAAGATATGTTACTTTCACACCGAAGGATACTATGTAAGTACAGTTTTACAATGCTATTACGTGCTTTGAAAAATATTTATGTATTAGTTAACACTCTTATTACATATGAGCATATGATTATACATTGTATCATTACATGTAGTGGTCATTACTTGAATTGTGTGGCAAAAGGAATTTTCTGTGAAGAATTTGTAAGGAAGTATTCTAGAAGAATCAATGATGTGGATTATCACAATGAACCAATCATGATTGTTCTGCGATTTTGGAGGATTTCAGTGTTTCAAGGTGATTTTCTACAACTAATTATAAAAGTCATTATCTATATGTGACAGTTTAGATAGCCAAGCATTTGGTTATGGAACTGAATTTTGAATTTCTCTGTTTTAAAGGTAAACCTTGCTTGATTACTGGTATAAGTTGTCCAAGAATTTTCTTTGATCCAAATTTCCATGACATCAACAGACAGCAATTCATGTATTTCCTTCGCTATAATAGATTCAATTTACCTAAACTTATACTCAAATTGTTAGATTCCGATTTTAGTTGTATTTTTGATTCACAGAAAGTGTTACACTCAAGGAGATGATGAATTCACACCCTCAGATGATGACGATGTTTTTATGGAAGAAGTTGATTCAAACTAAAACATCAATTCTGAGTGGATTGTTTTCTGAATATTCCCCCTATGTTTTATTTTATCTTGCTTTTCATTTATGTTTGCTTTGTAAAACTTAATATTAAATGTGCTATTAGCACAAGCTATGGAATAATATATTTCCTATTTTTGTTAATTATGTTTATTGATTTCAGAGAACATTAGACAATATATTATATCGATCAAAATTTACTATAAGCGGATCATTCTGAATGATACTGACCTGAATAACAAGCCAGTGATGCTCCGAGATTATTGCTTCCTGTTTTTTGATCTTCTCATTTAGTATATCCTGTCAATCATGATAATATAGAATTTAGTTACTAATTACTTATAAAGAATCTTAAATTACACAATTTTTTTTAAAGATAGTTTCAAATATTGAATATATCGACATATCTAACAAGATTTTATTCTCATATCTGGTACAATAGTATTTATCCAAGCTTTAGTCATTCTCCAACTCAGATGCATAAATTCTCATACAGTCAAAAACTCGCTTTGTTATATTCTTATACTACGGAACACATTCAAGAGTTTGATAAGGTAAACCAGAGCATAGAAGTTATGCTTTCCAACATCTACAATTATATTCCTACAAATTTTGTATATCATCACATATGTGTTACGATCTATCCTATTTTTCCTCAGGAAATCACATTTTCATGAGGAAGAAGAAAGAAGCAAGGGGTCAAATTGATTCTGATGTCACTCAAACTCCTGTTAGAATAAGACCATCATCTACTATACTCGATGAAAACAATGTTCCAGGTTCAGGAGAAAGCAATATCAGCAATAATGTTGTAGTCAATTCAGTTTTTAGAAGAGTTTTGGGAGACATATCTAACTCACCACGCAATACATCTGGACAATCACCATCTGACCAAAGAACACCATTGTCAGGAACTGCAATAGACAAATTAAATCAGATAAGCACTCCTTATCATAACCCTAATGCAAAGAGGTCAAGAAATATCTCACCTATTTCATGTAATTAAGACTATTTCTGTTGGAAGTATGGTTACAATCTATTTCATTTTTTTGACATAATATAGAGAGCTAATTCTATAAACAGTATTTAATGAGTCAGGTACTAAATCAAATACTTCCCAGATTACCTCAACTCAAATCAATGACTCTCCTCTGTTGAATCAATCTTCTTATATGCATAATGATGATTATGCTCCTGCTTCTTCTGCCAATAAAAGATTCAAAGGAAATTTATCAGGTTATATTTCAGAATTAGTACAATATCACATAATTCATGTAAATGGTAATGCTTAAGAGATACACACTAATATATATGAGAAATTGATATAGGGATTTATCATTTGGTATTTGTCCACAGTTACTACAAGAGGATCCAGATCATCAATACAAAACAATCATATTTATGATGATCTCCTTCACTCTCATCAGAGTTATGTAGAAGATAATGGTAACAGTTCAGATACAGATGAAGATGCTGATTTATCAAATTATGAAGCTTCCTCACAAGGTAAGACCTTTATCATGTTTTAAAAATCTTATAAAGATTCATATTTTTAAAATTTGTTTCCAATTTTAAGAGGAGACTATGAAGATAACAACCAAGAAGATTTTTGTTTTAGTAGTGAAGAAGATTATTGATCAAATGCATCCTCAGATGAAGATGACCGTGTTGACGACATTTCTCAAATCACAGATGACATTATTTATCAAGCTAAAGATAAATTTGACATACTTACTATGTTTGAAAAGGCTTTTGGAAAACCAAATCCTTTACCTACTAATCGTCAGAATAGAAAGAGTGGTACAATATACATATTAACTCAATCATGAGACTCGATTTATAAAATTCAGTACAATACTATAACCTATATTATTTTTTGGTTTTTTCCAGCTTATGTCAATGAAGGTGATCCAGTTCATAGTTGTGAGAAATGTGGTGCTACTTTTTGGTATGGGGAACGTGTAAACAAGAGGAGGCATACCAACAATCCTAAATTTTCATTGTGCTGTATGCAAGGTCAAATCGTATTACCACCCTTTAAGGATTCACCTGAATTATTATGGCATTTGCTTACGAGTAATGATGATCTCTCAAGACATTTTAGAGAAAACATCAAACCTTACAACATGATGTTCTCATTTACATCTATTGGAGGTAAATTAGATCATTGTCTTACTAAGGGTCGTGGGCCGAAGATGATTGCAATTCAAGGTGAAAACTACCATCTCATAGGTGCTTTGAAGCCTAAACCTGGTGACTATCCAAAGTTTCAACAACTTTATATTGTAGATACTGAAAATGATGTTGACAACAGATACAACATAATGAGGTATTTTCTCTCTTACTCACTCTTCTTTATAAGCCAATTTACATGAGTTTATCACTAATATATCTGATAACGTAAACTATGTTTATTCAGTAAAGGGAAGGAATCTGAAAACGACCAGGGAAAGAACAGGTTCAGAAAGGAAATCATCGACAGTATCATCAAGCTTTTAGATCAAGTCAATCCTCATGTTCAGGCGTTTAGAACTGCAAGAGACAGATTTAATACAAACGCAGAAGAGCCTTTTCATATGAGAATTATTGCCGCTCACACAGGTGATGGCAGGAATTATAATATGCCATCAGCATCTGAAGTTGCTGCATTAATTCCAGGAGATTTTGATGAAAATATGGATAAACGTGATATTGTTCTACAGAAAACTTCTGGGAAGTTAAAAAGAATAAGTGAACTGCATAAATCCTACCTTGCTCTACAATATCCTTTGTTATTCGCACGCGGGAAAAATGGTTATACTCTTGGTATCAAGAAAGCTAAAATAAATGGCCGTGGCAGTGACAAGGAACAGAAAGATGATAGTATGAGACAGTGGTTTGCATTCCGTCTTCAAGAAAGGAAACATGAGAAACATGTCTTACTTCGTTCCAAGCCCTTGCTTCAGCAGTTCATTGTTGATGCTTACACTATGATTGAGTCAAACAGGCTGAGATATATTAAGAAGAATCAACCAAAGTTTCGGAGTTCTAACTTAGAATCTATTCAGAATGCGTCTAATGCTGGAAACAATGATTTGGAAAATCAAGGTAAAGAATTTAAGATTCCAGCTTCTTTTACAGGGGGACCACGGTACATGACCAACAATTATTTGGATGCAATGGCTATTTGCAAACACTTTGGATTTCCAGATCTTTTCATAACATTTACTTGCAATTCAAAATGGCCTGAAATAGTTAGATTCTGTAAAGAGAGGAATTTGAAGCTTGATGATAGACCAGACATCATTTCTAGGATATTCAAGATGAAGTTAGATAACCTAATGTATGATCTAACTACCAAGAAGCTACTTGGGAAGACAGTTTCAGGTATTTATTAATTGAATCTGTTATCTAAATTATTAGCACCTGTGATTGATATATCCTAAATGTTTAATGATTTATATGTTTTGTTTTTTTTGCAGCCATGTACACTATTGAGTTTCAGAAAAGAGGCCTTCCACATGCCCACATATTGTTGTTCATGCATGCCACCAGTAAGTTTTCTACAGCAGAAGACATTGACAAAGTAATATCTGCTGAAATTCCAGATAAGGTGAAAAAACGAGAACTGTATGAAGTGGTTAAAGACTGTATGATTCATGGGCCATGTGGTGCTGGTTTTCCTAATTCACCATGTATGGTGAATGGTAAATTCTCTAAGTTTTTTCCAAAAAAGATTACCAACAATACTAGGGTTGATGATGATGGGTTTCCAGTTTATAGAAGACGTAACACTGGTATTTACATTGAGAAGAATGGTTTTCAGTGCGATAATCGTTACGTGATCCCATATAACGAGAAGCTATCCCTTCGTTATAATGCTCACATTAACGTTGAGTGGTGCAACCAATCAGGGTCAATAAAGTATCTGTTTAAGTATGTTCATAAAGGTCATGACCGTGTCACATTTGTTGTTGAGCCACGTGACAAGGATACTGCAAATGTGGATTTTAATCCAAATCCGGGAAAGACTACTGGTACCAAGGGAAAAGACGAAGTTCAAGATTTTTTTGATTGCAGGTTATTTCATTATTATCGTCATTACTATACAAATATATATAATTCAGGCAACTATATGGATTGTAACTTAATTTGTTGTATATTTTTTACAGGTACATATCTGCTTGCGAAAGCTATGTGGAGAATTTTCAAATTTCCTATCCACCATCGGACTACACCAGTTGTTAAACTTTTCTTCCATGAAGACGGAAAACAACCAATTTATTACAAGAAAGGTGAAACAACAGAGAGTGTTATGACTCGATTAACTACTGAAGCAACACAGTTTTTGGCGTGGTTTCAGCTTAACAAGAAGATTCCAAATCCAATAGTCAATTCAAATCGGAAAAAAAAACTAAAGAAAGCTCCAGATCCAACAAACCTTTTATATGAAGAAATTCCAAATCTGTTCACTTGGAATGGCAAAGAGAAAAAATTCTCACCAAGAGAAAGGGGATTTGCTATTGGAAGAATTAACTTTGTTCCACGTGCAATAGAGGATGCTTATTATTTGAGAATACTCTTAAACATCTACAGAGGTGTTACATGTTATAATGATCTCAAAACTGTGAAAGGTGTTGTTCACGAAACCTTCAGGGATGCGGTTTTCACTTTAGGTTTGCAAGATGATGACAAGGAGTACATAAAGGGTATTAAAGATGCCAATTTTTGGTGCTCTGCAAAATATGTTCGTACGCTATTTGTCATCATGCTTCTTTCAGACAGCTTAAGCAAACCAGAGATGGTGTGGGAGACAACCTGGAAGATTCTATCAGAGGATATAGAGCGTAGAAAAAAAATGAATGGAAACGACCATGTCTCTCTCTTATATCATTTTTTTTATCTATTGTTGTGAGAGTGAATTGGATATCAATTTCCTTTTAAACCGTGAATTATTGGTATGATGGGTTTGATATCTATTTCTAATTTATCTTATTGTTATGTTTTTATTAAATTTGCAGATCTTATTCTAAGTGATGAGGAAAAAAAGGAATTTTGTTTACAAGATATAGCCAGGCTGCTAACCAAAAATGGAACTTCACTTACAAGATGGAAACAAATGCCACAAGTTTCTTCGGAAGATGTACAAAAATGCAACCATTTTTTGTTGGATGAACGCAAGTACAACCGTGAATATTTGCAAGAAAAGCTTGAAGAATGGTTGGCTAAGGTGACTTCAGAGCAAAAGAAGATATATGATGAGATAATGGATGCTGTCATACATGACAAAGGCGGAGTGTTTTTTGTTTACGGTTTTGGAGGTACTGGGAAAACTTTTCTCTGGAAGTTACTCTCTGCTGCTATTAGATCAAAAGGAGACATATCTTTAAATGTCGCATCTAGCGGCATTGCTGCTCTGCTATTAGATGGCGGTCGAACTGCCCACTCAAGGTTTGGAATTCCTTTAAATCCTAATGAGTCGTCTACATGTAACATTTCACGTGGAACAGATCTTGCTGAGTTAGTTACAGAGGCTAAACTTATTATTTGGGATGAAGCTCCTATGATGAGCAAGCATTGCTTTGAGTCTTTGGATAGAACTTTAAGAGATATTATGAATAATCCAGATGATAAGCCTTTTGGTGGGAAGGTTATCGTTTTTGGAGGTGATTTCAGACAGGTATTACCAATGATCAATGGTGCTGGTAGGGAGGAAATCGTTTTTGCTGCATTAAATTCATCTTATATATGGGAGCATTGCAAAGTTTTGGAGCTAACAAAAAACATGAGACTTCTCGCAAACATTAGTGAGCATGAAAAGCGCAATATCGAGGAATTTTCAAAGTGGATATTAGATGTTGGGGATGGTAAAATTACTCAGCTAATGATGGAATTGCTCAGATTGATATCCCAAAAGAGTTTCTCATTACTCAGGATCATGATCCGGTCGAATCAATTATACATGCTGTTTATGGAAATAATTTTATGGACGAGAGTGATCCTAAGTTCTTTCAAGGAAGAGCTATTCTTTGTCCTACTAATGAAGATGTGAACTCCATAAATGAGCATATGTTGAACATGGTGAATGGTAACTACTTCCATCAACATCTGTTAGTATTTTTTAAGTTAGCTAATTTAATTTCAAAACAGCTTTATTAGTTATTTACAATTTATTTCCTTCCGTCTGTAGGTGAAGAAAGAATCTACCTAAGCTCTGACAATATAGACCATGTTGATACAAGTTCTAC